CACAAAGAAAAGAAAATCAAGGCTTAGAGATTAATTGCTAAGTGGTAATAGACAAGTTTGAAGTGGGCTGGGGCAGTCCCCTTCCCGATTCAGGAGTCTGTGGGATATTATACCGTCCAGGATAAGATTTCATTGCATCTTCCTGACCAGAGGCTAGTCCAGCAGCCAAAATCATTCTCATTGTTCTCTCTCATAGGCATTCACATCCCTAACCTCCCCCGCCACACACACGTTTCCCCTTCTTGTTCCTTTCTTCCCTCTCTCCGTCTGTTCGGAGAAAGATGCTCAATCTTAGCTAGAAGGCACTCTCCTCTGAGTCACAGACAGAAAGGAACCCGCCACTCACCTTCTCTTACCCAAGAGGAATACTTCCTCTGGTCTGTCCTCACTTCCTTCCTACCCCTGAGAGGCCTGCACCCCAGCTCTCTCCCAGAGAGCCCTTCCATAGCTTTGTCCACAGTGTCGCTGTGACAGGATTGTTTCCTGGAGCACTCAGCCTTGGATTTCTTCTAAAAGAACTTTGTTTCTCATTGCCCCCAAGTCCATCCTAAACATTTGATCTCAAAATGATTTAGAGACAGTGGGGGCAACAGGGGCCCTGCCTGTGTAACTGGCTGAAGACAAAAAGCATCAGCAAGCCTGGGCTGGGGCAGCTCTATTGGTCTGCACAGAGAAGCAGCCGGTGAGATCACTGGGCAACTGGGGCAGGCAGGACCTCCTTAGGGAGAAGATGCCAAGTGAGGGAGAGGGAGACGGAGGCCAGTGAAGCCCAAAATCCCTGCAGAGGAGGGAGAGAAATACCCAGGGAAGAAAGGAGGCAGCACGGACACCTCAGGCGAAGAACGGGCTCATAGGGGGATGTGGGACTCTGCTAAGCAAATGGCTAGTCCGATAGCTGTGTATACAAATGTGTCCGCCCTCACACAGCCACACACGCCTCAGCACACGCCGGCCCTCCCGGCAGCAGCCCTCTGAGTCCGGCTTAGTCATCCCCAAACTCGCGCGCAGCCAGTTCTTGCAGAAGGGACCCCTGCCGTGCAGACAGGAACCTGGCCGGCTCTTGCCAGCTGTTATGGAAAGAATCCTGGCCTTACCTGCTCAGGCCGTGATCCCACACCACTAGTCTAACCCTCTCCACATCCCTGCTTTTAAAAAATTAATTAATTAAAAATAAAAACAAATTCACCTCCTGCTCTATCGCACGCAAACCAGTTCTGCCTTGAGCTTCAGACAGTGATCCTGGGAAATTCTGTGTCGTATCCAACTCATACAAATGCCCCCGAACCTCAGTCTTCCCTGGGCCCTCTAGGGATCCTTTGCAAATGTCGAAGACTCTGCTTCCCTGTGGCCAGTTTCTACTTAGCCCACGGTCTACCTAGATTTCCTAATGTCAGTCACAATACCTTGGGAATCAGCCCCTTTCTTTTCCTCCCATTAAAGCCTTCTCCTTCTTCTGTGCTAGGGATGGAGGCCTCAGGGTCTGTCTTGTTCTCCCCTTCAGGAAGCATTACCCTCCCCTGGAGCTGACCTGTCCACTGCCCTATCGCACCACTGCAATCACACTTATGCCCCGCATCCTTCCTCTCTGATAAGGAGAATCCCATACACAGGGCTGCAGTGGGTGGTGTGGGCTTCACATACTCTGTCACCAGAAACACTGCTCTTCACATCCCTCCCTGCTTGTGGCAAGTGCCTCCCAGGTGTGGCTCTCACCCTCCTGGTCTCTAGAGAACAGGGAGAGGAAGTAAAGCCTCTTCAACGATGTAAAGACAGGAAAGCTCCCTCAGGACACCACCGCCTAGACGTCTCCGTTTCTTCCTCCTCCCCCAAACTTCCTTCCCTTCAGCTCTCACCAGGGTCCTTTTCAGTCACATTCACACTCTGTCTTTCAGTCCCACACAGCCTTGACTCAACTCCTTGTCATTGTCATCAGCAGTCACTCTTGTGACTCATGCGGTAGGTGAAGGAAGCTCAGATTCCTGCCCAAAGAATGACCTAGCGAAGTAGTTCAGTCCTATTCCTTGGCATCAGAGCGCCTGGGTTTGAGTCTTGGCCATTCTACGAGGTCTCTGATGAACACACATAACTGTAGGCAACCTCTACCATCTACAAAATGGGGAAATTAAAAGCATCTCATAGTTTTGATATAAGAAATCACTGGCATTATGTAGCAAAGCACCTACCCAGTGTTCAGAAGAATGTCATTAGGTCATAGCTATCTATTAACTGGGGAGAATCCTCACAGTTTTGATAGAGGAAGCCCTGACTATGGCACCATGTGGGGATTTGGAAGCAAGTGTCCTTGAAGTCCAATGGCTGAACTTTTAGATATCAAAGTTTCTATGTAATGGTAACAAAACATGGTAAACTCCTTGGGATCCTAGGACTTTACTCCTCTGTGAGGGAACAGAAATGGCGGCTCCCTGCAGGAGGCAGAGGATTAACAAGGTAATTGTTTCTTTATAATTTGCTTGGTCGAATGGCCCTCTGCTAGAAATCTAATTCAACCATCCAGAGGAATGTTACCCCATTGTCCCTGTCAGAGAGCCATCTCGGTCACGGCCCTAGAGATCCTATTGGTGAGGCCACAACCAGCAGGGACAATGAACGTGTGAGTCTGTCTAGCAGTCCTGCTCAAACTGGTCTATCTCTCACTGCCTTAGGCAGGCATAGTCCAGAAAGGACACAGCTGCGTGGATGGACGTACATATTTTCATTAAAGGAGACGACAGATCCTATGGCCCTAAGTCCCAAATGCTTGAGCTGAATCTCCACTCACATCATTTTCTCCGATAATGGTGGATTACTAAACCTGCCCAGGAACGTGACTTGATTTTTGCCTTTATAAGACTTCCTCACCGAGTCAGTTCACAAATATTAAAGAAAATCATTTCTCATATGCTTTGAGCAGAATACAGATCTGAAAGGTGTAGTCACCACGTTCCCAGATAATTTTTCCATAGAAGGTTGGAGCACAGCTTACTTCTCAGACCGAATGACAAAACAGCACCAGAAGCCTTTGTCTGCAAGCCTTGCTGCTGGTGAGTCAGAAGCACTCTCACCCCTGCCTCCCTCCCAACGGCTGTGATTTGTTATGGGAGGGTAACAGGAATAAAAGGCATCCGCATCACCATCTGAGCTGCCTCTCTGTGGAGACTTCTGTTTACATAGGAGTTTGATGAGGTCCTTGCAGGCTCTTCAGGGTGTGTAGATCAGGACAGCAGAGAGCCCATCACAAAGGGGGAGGCAATGGTGACCCAGCTGAGTCCACTCCCCACACCCCCCAGGCACAAGGAAGAACTCTGAGTGGTTTTCACTGAGGGCTGGGGCAAAAGGGAGGGCTGAGGCGACGGGAGAACAGACCGAAAGGCAGAGAGGGCTGTTTACCTTCCCAAAGATCCACAGTCTGGAAAATATCGGTGGTCCTGACCCCATAGATCTCCGCAGCTTTTAGGAACTGCGAGATCTGCTCCATCTGCTTAAAAGCCATCTTGGACTCTGAGATCTTGGGGATGGGCTCTTGTCCTGGTGGGTATAAACTGTTTATCAGCTTGCACAGGACCTGCGGGAATGGAGGGGGACACGGAATCAGTCTTTGCTTTTGTAATGAATGTCACAGATAAGAAGTGAGTCCTGCCACCCCTGCCCCCCAACACGTACACCACAAAGCACTGCTCACACTTGAACGAGAGCAGGTCATGGTCGCCAGGAAGGCACAAGTTCAGGATTGTGTGGCATACTAACCCCCCAAATCCAGACAACCCTGTTCCCAGGACTGTACGGATTGCATGGGAATCCACCCTCTTCCTTTCCCAGGAGGAGGGAAAGAATCTTCACAGATGGGGAATGAAGTGTGTGCTGAGGACATGATTCCAACGCTTCTAATGGAGGGATGTATGCACGGCTCCCGGGGAAGGGACGTTTTGATGTGCTCTCTTTCAAAAGGCAGATCACGATCAGTCTCCAGTAACTGACCCGTGTGTGTGAAAGGGAACTGGACACCCTTCTTCCAGGCACCTCCAACCCAAGTCTTGGGCAACCCAACACATGCGTGGGATTCAGTTATGTAACACTAAATCGTTGCCTGTGGAAAACCATGGACTTGTTTGCATCAGCGAAGCTTTGGGTTTTCAAACCACCGAACACACACAAGCATCTGGTCAGAGCAGCAGTTATCAAATAAGGACTGGCTTCCAGTCCCTGAGACCCCACCGTTCAATAGAGACTGGGTATTTCCCGGAGGCGCTGCTGCTCAGAAGGACCAGGGACCTGAAAGCGGCTACCACCCCCACCGCCTCTTTGTTTCACTGTGGAACCAGCCGGTTCGGTTCCCTCGGGGTAAGAAATGGCCCCCAAAGCGCAGATGCACTAAGAAGACTGGGGAGATCCAAGGAAATTCTTCTTTATTCTCAATGGAAACATCAAGAAGGGTTTCACATTTGCCAGCAGCTCAGATAAGGCAGAGGAAGCTGTTATGCTCGGATGGGTGGAGAGTGCTCTAATCTAGATAGGGAATTGTGCAGGAAGCTCAAGTCCTCCAGCCGTGAAGAAATAAAGGCATTTCCACCACCTCCCTCCCGCTGAGCCGCTGAGCCTGGCAACAGCTGCGCTCCCAGGGCTGCGCGGTGAAAGCAAGGGCCCCGGGGAGGGTTTCCCTGCCCACCGCCCCGGCAACCGAGGTGGCTGCGGCCTTACCGTGCCGTCCATTAGCCACTGCTGAAAATGGGCCCTGCCGGGGGGCGGGTGCTCTATGTCCTCGGCGCACTGCAGGATGATCCAGTCCACCAGCTTGTTCTCCAGGTCCGCGTCGTACTTCTGCTCGATCTTCTCCTGCACCTCCCGGCTTAAGCCGTAGCTCGGGCCCCTGTTAGCCATCTCTGGAAGAGAGGACAGGACGCGACGGCATGCACACAATAGCAGCAGCCGCAGCAGCAGCAGCAGCCTCGGCTCCCTCCAACCGGCTGGGATGTGGCTGGGCGCCCTGGCCCTGCAGCGGCAGAGCGGGCAGAAAGCCGGGCGTGGTTTAAATCAAGGAGCCAATGAAGCCAATGGGGCTTCACCTACAAACGGGAAAGGAAAGCGCAGCCCCACAGCTGGGGACTCTAAATAAAGCCCTGTCGGTCCATGGGGGCTGGAAGCCCTCTCGCCCGCCTATCAAGGAGAAGAGATGAAGTACCCGGACTCACAGCCCAGCCTGCAAGCCCCAGGCAGCAGGGGGATGGGTGGTGGTCGTTGCCGCGTCCTCTCAGCAGCGCTTTGCAAAGGCAGCGAGGGCGAGCTCTGCGCACGTTGCTCACAGGCGCGGAGGAAGGCTGCTTCAGTGCAGCTGCCGCCGTCGCATCGCGCGGGGAGAAAGGCACACTGATTTGATTTTCTCCGGGCGCCAGGAGGGTCGGACCAGGGCCGTTGCTAAGAGCCCTCCAAAAGCCAGCCCTCTCGGGTGTCAGGCGAGCCCGCGCCTCCCTCCCGCCGGAGCGTCTTTCTCAGCCGCACAATGCCATCAGGTCCTCTGGGAGAGCGCGATTGTACCCAGGGCCAGCACGCAGCTGCACGGGGAGCCCAGGGCCTGTGGGAGGGTCCATTCTGCCAGCTGTCCATCTGTCGGAGAAGCCAGACCACTTTCTCCCTGTCCCGTGTAGCAATTGTCTGGCAAGATCCGCTGGGCTTGGAGCGGCGCGGACGGGAAGCCACAGTCATTTACTTGTTCAGCTGTGAGCCAGGCTTCATCCGGAAACTCTCCTCCTGTGGGAAAACCCCGCACCTCCGTTTGGTTTTATTCAAGAGATTTACCTCTCTCACGTTATTTCAATCCAAAAGTCACTAAGAGCAAGTTTCACAAATTAAACAAAGAGCAATGGCCTAAAGATTCTTAGAGGGAAAGGTTTCGGTAGTGTGTAGATGTGGTCTGCGTATGAATGTCAGCACAAGCAGATATGAGCACAGGAGAAATCATTTGGTTTAAAGTGAGGTGAAATTCTTAAAGATTTTTCCAGTGGCTTGGAGGGTTGTGCTTCTAGAGTGTAAGCTACCTGAGGTTAAAGACAGACTCACTGGTGCAATGTAAATATCATGGTAATTTCATGAGAAAAACACCCAAGTGTTTGCTCTTTACTTCATTTCTTTGTTCAATAAATGTTTATTTATTGCTTAACTGTGTCAAATACTGGACTGGAAAAAAATGAAATTCTGGCTCTAGAAAGGGTTGGTAAATTGACTCAAGCACATTAGGTAAAGCAAATCTAGTACATAGGATAGTGATTATTTTCCCTGTGGGAAATTGATTAGAAGCTATGCAGGAAATGACTCCTCCAGTAATACACATATTGAGAAAAATCTCCTGACGCCTGGGGCCTAGTCTAGGGAAAATTTAATTATTTAGTAGACACGAGTGGTTTGCCTGAAAAAAGACTTAGTGGCCAGTAGTTGAAAGCTTGGGGAACGGAATACCATGGCAGGCAGAGGTTGTGAGAAAACCAGGAGACCCCAGGAAAGCAGAAGTTTTATAAAGAGATAAAGGGAGAAGTGAGCCAGGTGTCGTGGCGCACTCCTGTAATCCCAGGATTCAGGAGGCTGAGGCAAGAGGATCATTGCTGGGAGTCTGAAACCAGCCTGGGCTACAAAGTGAGCTCAAGGCCAGCCTGAACTGCACAGTGAGACCCTGTCTCAAAAAAAAAAAAAAAAAAAAAAAAAAAAAAAGAAAGAAAGAGAACTGGTTTGCGGCTGCATAGGATCTCAGCTGAAATTCTAAGCCAGCAGAACTGTCTGCAGAGACTTGGCGCTTTGGGGGAGAGCTGAGAGCAGGCAGATTAGCAGCAGAATTACGAAAATCACTAGTTGCCCCTGGAAGAGAAGCAATAAGGTTAGTTCCACCTGGGACTCCGAGGACAGAGGGCCAGTCAGAAAGCATGTATCCTTTTCCATGCCTAGCATTTGTCTAAAGAAGATTTTGGTTTGTTATTAAACAAAGCTAGGATTCTAAAGATATACATTTGTCTGCCTTTTCTTTCTTTTTCTCTTCTCTTCTCCCCACCCCCAGATCTTTTGTACCCAAAGATTCCTTCCCACTAAAATGGAAGAGTTAGCACGTTTCAAGTGAGTGACTGAGTCCATGGTTCTGGAGGGGATGCAGTACTCAGGTTGGGTCTGAGGACAGGGTGTTAAGTGTCTAGAAATCTAGAGAAAACCACTGGGTCCCTCAACCTTGTACCCCACCCAACTTGAAGAGAAACACTCCAACAGACAACCGGTCTGTTCAAACACAAAGCCCCTCACTCAGCTTAGAGACTAAAGTAAATCTGTTTATCAGGATGATTCCCAGGCCTAGTTCTCAAGCTTACAGGAAACCTCGTAAGTCTGCAGAATGCCATGCTGTAAATCAGCAGCATGCCAATGTCCTCCTGCATTTCCCACCCCCAGAGGCATCAGACCCACCAATCACCCCTGAGAAACTTAAATTTTCCACTTTCCTCAGTTGAATCTCCCCATCCCATACTGAAAATAGTCTTTGAAATAGGACTCCTTCCTTTGTTTGGGGCGAACAGCTTTCTTGCCCTTGGCCCAGGCTGCACTCAGCCTGAAATAAAGATATTACTGTTTGCTTCAGTTATGGTTTGTGTCTGCATGTCCCCCCCAAATCCACACACAGTCATAGGGCAGGCTTTTAGTGGTCTGATTCAGGGTTGTGAGTGCTACACTGCACTGGGGCATATAGTTTACATATGTGAGGGAGAGGAAGAGGCTGCTTGCTGTCACTCCTCCCTTTTTGCTGTTATTGCTTTTGCTGCCTTCTGTTGCCATGAACTATTGAGCTCTGCCATGTGCCACTCTGCCTTGGATCCAGCCAAGTAAGGACTGAAATCTCTAAATACTGTGAGCTAAATAAACCTTTCCTTCCTTAATTTTGAGCATCAGGTATTTTGTCTCAGCAATGAGAGAAAAGTAACCAAGACACAATTTGGTACCAGGAGTGGGGTTCTTGCTGTGACTATACCTGACCATGTGGTTCAAGAGCCTTTGGAAATGGCTTGTGGGAAGTGTTTGGAAAGGTTTTGAGATGTTGTCTGAAGGAGTAGAGCTGGAATGCCTTCAGTTGTTCTGTGTGGGGGATTCTGGCCAGAGCTCAGAAAACCAGAAGGCTAATAGAAATCCTGCCGGTAAAGACTGGGTTGGAGGCTTCTGATGGGAAGGACTGCATTGGTTGTTGGACTCCAAATGATGTGTGTTATGGCTTGGCAGAAAGTTTGTCTGCATTTTGCTTGTGTCCAAAGACTTTGCCTGAGACTGAGATTAAGGGCAACGGCGGCGGCGGATTGATTAATCTGGCAAAAGAAATTTCCAGGCAGTCAAATGTTGAGGTGGTGGCATGGCTGTTGTAGAGGGCTTTTAGCCAAATTTATGTTGAGAATCAAGAGCAGAGAGCCCAGCAAGATGATTTAAAATGTAAATTTTGCCAGAAAGGAAGCTTTAGTAAAGCTGTGGATTGCAAAGATAAAGCTGAGGAGATCTCCATTGCTGAGAAGGAACAAGAGAATGGAAAAGATGGCCTGAGGGTATCACAAGAAGCAGCAAATCTCCACCCTTTGCAGCCTCAAAACTGCAAAGGCGAAAGACTCTGCTTTGAGAAGAAAGCCACAGAGCACCATGTTCCAGAATGGTGGCTGTGGCTGCACCATGTGCCAGAATGGTGGCAGCAGAGAGAATTTGCTCCTCAGAATTGGATTCAGAGTGCCCAGCAATCCAGGCACTCGATCCCTATGGCCAAGAGAGAGGAAAGCTTGGCTACTGCTCCAGGTGGCAGCAGACCTTGGCATGAGCCACGTAGTGCTGGTTTTAGGTACATACAGAATGTAAGAGTTCTGAGGTTAAAAAGGCTCCCACCTCAATTTCAGAAGAGGGCCTGGGAAGCCAGGCAGTGTGCCCCTGTGAGGGCAGTATATGAAGCTGTGAGTATGAAGCAAAAGGTACAGTATAGACCTCAGAAGTTTGGAAAAGCCAGGAACGTGGATTGTTGGAGGAAAGCTGCAAGGAGGGAGCAAAGGGGGGTCCAAGAGAGAAGCCATGGGAGCTGTAACCACTAGAAGTGTTACAGGGGTGAAGTCACACAAGCCCTTCAGAGCTCACAACCTGCCACAAGTTGTTCCAGATGCTGGATGTGGAATTACAGGACTTAATGTTTGCCCTGTTGTTATGTTGGACTTGCTTTGGTCCCAATGCTTTGTATCCCTGTTTGTACCTTTTGGAATGGTAATGTTTATTTTGTGCCATTGAATGTTGGAAGTGTTTAACTTTTCATTTGTACAGGGGCTCACAGCTAAGAGTTTGCCTTACATCTCAGAGGAGACTTGGGACTTGGACTTTTTAGCAATGCTGAAACTGTTAGGACTTTGGCAACTCTTGCAGATGGACTAAATGCTATTTGTATAAAGGGATGTGAATGAGTCTTTAGGGGGCCATAGGTGGAATGTTATGGTTTGTGTCTGCATGTCCCCCCAAATACTCATGCAGTCATGGGGCAGGTTTTTAGAGTTTTGATTCAGGGTTGTGAGTGCTACACTGGGGCAGATAGTTTGCACATGTAAGGGAGAGGAAGAGGCTGCCTGCTGCCACTCCTCTTTTTTGCTCTTGATGCTTTTGCTGTCTTCTGCCACCATGAACTACTGCCCTCTGCCACACGCTACTCTGCCTTGGAGCCAGCCAAGTAAGGACTGAAACCTCCACAAACTATAAGCTAAATAAACCTTTCCTTCCTTAATTTTGGGCATCAGGTGTTTTGTCCCAGTAATGAGAGAAAAGTAACCAAGACAACTTCAATCTTACCTGACCTAGTGGTCTCTGTCATTGCTCAGGGTCTAGCCTAGCAATAACTTATAGAGGAAAAATGCTGGGTTCCCTGGAAAATGGCTCAAGGTAGCATTTACTGAATGCTGACTAGCATTATAGTTACTTTTTTGCAATAAAGTTTTCAAGGGTCTATGCTATATACAGTACCTGAGGTACACAAGTGAAGCATGATAAATTAGTCCAGTAGTAAAGTTAAAATTGTAAACAATAAACACGGGCCAGATCTCATGGTAAAATTATTCCTAAGGCACTTAGGTTGGTACACTTAACCCAGGGGAAGGGGTTAGGGAATTACAGAAAGGTTTATAAATGAGAAGACTTTGCACGTTGAATGATACATAGGTATTTGCTGGGTGGATGGGCTCAGGCAGGAGGCCATGGAGTATAGATGACAAACACAGTTTACTTAAGAAGGTGAAAATGTTCCTGTATCAACAAAGCATTGGGTTCAAGGGGAGGCACAGAAAGAAAATGAAACTGGTTTGTCAGGCAGGCAAGAAATGATAAAGTACAGTGCTTGCAAGTACTTATGGTTAAATTTTCACGAATTTTGAGAGACAGTTATTAGGTGCAGCCATTACTAGCAATTACATTATATTATCTTTCTCTTAAATGAATTCTATTACAAAGGTTAAATACTCAAAGCAAAGGCTTCTTAATTTATTTTGCTACATTTCCCCACTGCCTATATTTCTGAGGGGATTTGTGTTTATTTTCTCTGTAAGGTGCTAATATGACATGGTGTGCTATGGGGGCACTTCTTCACAGCTCTGCATTCGGTGACGTCCTGGGGATAGTTTGAGGCAGCCATGATGGGAGTACTTATGCAATGATGTTGGTATTGCTACAAATCAGCTCCCGACCAAGCAAGTTATTAAATATTCACCAACTTTGTATGGAATTATGTATCATGAAAAAGAATTTGAAAATTTTCATTGGGAACTGTGAGAATGGCTCACAGTTTTGACTTGGGTCATTGACACTGGTGTTATTTATGGCAAGACTTACAGGTGGGGGTGATGCAGAAAGGGGAAAAAATAATAGGGCTTGGAGCTAACCATATTTGGAAGGCCCACGGTCTGAGCTCATTAGTTCGTCAGTTTTATGAGTCTGGAGTTGAGGGAAGTCTAGATGGCAGGAATGTACCTGAATCACTTGCATGCAGGTAGTAGTTAAAACTATAAACAGGAGTGATGTTGCTGACACAGGCTGAGAAGTTCAAAGCGGGACGCTCTATGGAAAATGCATGGACAGGGTGCTCTTCGTGAGACCAGAGGACCCAGCAACCATCTTTCTGGGAAAGAGGTGGGCATAAGTCAGGCAGGGCTTCACAAAGAAACTTGCAGGCACTAGACCTTCTGTTACTGGCGGTAATAGTGAAAAGCAAGTTGAGCTTTTTTTTTTTTTTTTGAATTCTAAACTATAGGCCAAATTCTGAAAACCTAGGAAGATACAGTGAGAAAGGATATTTTCCCCAAAATACATATTCAGTTTTTAAAATACCTCCAGTGTTTTAGATATATTCTCTAACTACACTAAACATCATATCTTTTCATACACCAAGTTCTACATACTACATGAGTGTTGCTAACAAGTTACAATGGGCCTCTATCTGGAAGAGCTTTTAAAAGGTACTTTCAGAGGTTGTCCCTATGTATCTACAGCTTTTACAGCTGAGGATCCAAAATGACTCATAACTATGTGCCTACATTGAACATGTATAGACTTTTTGCCATAACTCCCTGAAACACAGGGTAACAATGACTTACATAGCATTTCAATGTGTTGTTGTAAGTGATCTAGAGATGATCTAAATAAAGCACCCTGGAGGATGCGCACCGCTTACTATGAATACTATGCCATTTTAGAAGAGAAAAAGGAGCTTTCTTGGATTTTGAGATCCTCAGGGAGCGCTGGAACCACCCTTCTGTGGACATCAAGGAGTAAGTATGTAAATTTCACCTAGAAGTATGTAAGTTCTTTAGATTTTTTTTCTAACTGTTCCAGGTTTAGTGATCTTTAACATACTTTGGGGACTGCTGAGGAAGTTAGAAGGTGAGGAGAGTTCTCTTCTCTGTCTCCAAGCTTTGGAAAACAGCCTTGCCCAGGGCTCTTTTCTTCCTCTCTTCCAGATATCAGAGGATGACATACTAGAAATTTTCTAAACTCAACAGATGTGGCAAAATTAAAATATATTACCTGGCCTCAATTAGCCTTCTTCTTTTTTGATATTTGCCTTATTGTTTCCCACTGTGTGTGCTGAGATGGTCTGCAGGGATCATGCCTCTTTTAAAATAATCTGGGAATTCCAAATGATGAGGTGTGCATGTTCTGCTGGCTACACATGCATTTTACGTGTTGGTGAATACATAGCACAGAATGAACATCTGGAAAAAAAATACCTGCAGGGGAAAGTAGAAGAAAACACTACAGTAATTAACAATGTACTGAAAAACACTACATTTCACCAATTCAAGCTCATGAAATTTGGTATCAATCTCTGGAAAGCTCAAGAATTTGTTTTGGTGAGACAAGTTCTCACTATACAGTTCAGGCTGAACTCATGGTGATTTTTCTGCCTCAGCCTCCTGAATGCTGTGATTAGAGGGGTGGACCACCACAGTTGGCAGTAAAGCTTGCTTGCTTATGTATGTATGTACGTATATATTTATTCACCTAGTACAGGAATCAAACTCAGGACCTTGCACTTGCCAGGCAGGCGCTTGTGCTGCTGAGTACCTCCCCGGCCCAAAAAGCTACATTTTAAAACATCTTTTTTATCTTTAGATTGTGAACTTCTCTCTCCTGTTTTGAACATTTGAATAACATCATACAATAACACTTCACCTTGGGGTCTTCATGTCAGGAAAGTCAAACCTGTTTGAGAAGCCCTACCTTTCTTGCTTTCACTTTTCTTTCTTAGCACCATGGATTATTTGTGTCCACTCATTTCTCACTGGACTGTGCTCTCGATACAAAAAATAACCATGAAAAGGAAGCATCTCCTATGCCACTGTTCTAAATGTGTTACACTTATTTATCTTCACACCCTATTACCTGGGTTTGTCATAGATGAGGAACCAGCTCGGAGAGGTTAAGTAAACCGCGCAGCAGTGATAAATGGTAAGTCGGGATTCCAACCCTCTCTCGTCCTCACCGCTGCTATCCTGCCCTCCATGTCCACTATGACTCTACCGTGTTCGTTACAGTTTACAACCCCAGCAAACTCTCATGGTGGGGCCTTTGTCTCTTTGATTTTCCTAGCAATCATGACAAGCAATGTCTTGCACAATAGGCCCTACAATCGCCAGTGTTACTATCAACTCATTCCAGCGGCACTGATTCCTCTTTTTGACTTGTGATTTCTCTGGTATACAAGGTAACCCACGGACTGTAACTTTACGGTATCTGCATCAGGAGTCCCCAAGACCATCCTCAGAGCTGAAGACTTTCTGGGACTCACAAGGCTCAGCACAGAGTCTACTAGCAGCTATGACTGTTTTTATAAAGCAAAATCAGCAAAGGTCAGAGGTACGTGTGGTAAAGCCTGGGGAAACTAGGTACACGTGTTCAAGAACCCTCTTCCAGGGGTCACAAAAGCCGAGTTTAATTCTTCCAACAATGACTTATAATAGCGCATACAAAATGTTGTTCACATGGACACTTAGACTCCGTGCCCAGGGTTTTCACTGGGGGTGGTCACGTAGGTAGTCTACCTAGCGCACACCGAAGTTCTGGGCTCCCAGCAGAAAATCAACTGTTCAGCACAAGCCTCATTGTTTGGTGATAGCTTAGCACAGGTAGCTACTTTGAGCAGCTGTGGGAAGCGTGGAAGCCCCTTGAAATCCACGTTCCCAAATGCCAACCAACAGCTAACCTTGTAAAGCAGGTCTCTAGGGATAATCGGCCAGCCTGCTACAGGACACTTCTCTGCACAGCACGTTGACCCCAAACTCAATGCCTATAAATACTCTATTTCTTAAACTGTTCTTTGAACCAGGTTTACTATCTGCTGACTGCCTCATTAATATGTTACATCTATGACACATGCTCATTTTATGTGTGAGTCATGTTGCCAACTTAATAGAAGTTTTACTCTGACAGACATAAGCTAACCAGGCTAAATAAAGTTTAGCTAAAATTAATAGCTAAAACACACCAGCTCAGTAACATCAAAGCTGATCCCTATACATGCTCATTTTAGTAATCGAAAGAAACCCCTTTTATCCTTACATACTTTTCTTACTGACTCCATGTCAGAAGTCCTCTGATTTAAGTGGAAACACTTGGCTCTTTACACTCACGTCTCTTACTGACAAAAGGTATTTCTGCAAGCAGGCATTCATGCAGAAAGATCAACTTCCTCATCAGTTGCATCAATCATTATGTAGAAATGCTACATCATTAAGATGAATTTTCCATTTAAATATGACATGTACTCTGGTTTCTCTTCAGATCGAACTAATCTTTTACCTTTTAAATATGACAGGTAAGTGAAAATTTAGAAATATGTCCTCCTATCACCGTAAACAGTTGTGAGCCTTTGGAAAAGAGCTTAGAGTTCAAACATAACACATTCTTACTTTTAAATTTTATTACGCTTCAGATATTTTGCCAATTATTTCAACTTGCTTCAACAAACGTTTTCTTGTATTTTATAGCATTTGAAAATCTGAAGTTATTTTACAAACTTCCATATATAATGGAAACAAAACCCCAAATATTCAAGCTTTACTAATAATTCTAAGTAGATAAGAACATAAGAGGTGGCCCAGCTAACATATTTGTAAGAAAGGTAAACATCTCTTGAATAAAAAAATAGGATTTTAATGAAAAAAAAAAAAATCAAAGATTGTAGGAAGAAGAAAACTGTCTAAACAGCAGTCAGTACTTTTGCCACAATTGGTATTATTCGTGCTGAAACATCATTAAATAAATACTTATTTGATATTTACAAACAGAGGTAAGAGGGAAAAACCTTAAGTATCAGGATCTTTGATTCACTATTCTTTCAATCTTCTGGACATGTCAGTTTACATACCAATTAGAAATATGATTCTAGGCTGGGGATATAGCTCAGTGGCATAAGCGCCTGCCTGGCAAGCGTGAGGTCGTGAGTTCGATGCCCAGTACCGCAAAAAAAAAAAAAAAAAGAAATATGATTCTAGGGAACTACAATTGAAAGCTTGTCAATTAAGTCATCAATAGTGTAAGTAAGAAGCTGTAAGTCCGCCTTCTCCTTCATCCGGTGGCCACTGTCTTTCCGGAGGATGACATCCACATCTGTGCTGAGCACTTGGTCAGCCACCTGCATGGACGTGTACCAAGGGACGATGTCGTCCTTCATGCCGTGGAGCAACCGCATGGGGCAGCTCACGGGAATGGGGCTGTGCAGCAAGCAGTGGTGCTCCGCCTCCTTGATGAAACTGTACTGAACACGGTAAAACCCATCTGGGTGGTATTTTGATGGCAGGTTCCACGTGCCTTTTATCTCTGCTTCTTTTTGTACCTAGTGGGAAAAAATGGGGAAAACAGAAGAATGTATGCACATTAACACATGCAATAATCTTGAACAGCTTTAAAAATGCAGTCCTTGAAGGACACAGATAAAAAAGGACACAGATAAAAGTCCAATAATAAGCATCAAAAATCACATGCCATGTGCAAGGGACTGGGACAGGTACTTTACACACATTCTCTCACAAAATTCTCGCAAGAATTCTGCTATTATCCCATTTTCATAAAAGATAACAGCAAGGTTTCGAGAAGTCAAAGGTCACCTTCAAAGTTAAAAGCTAGAAATGGTTATAGCTAGGAATCAAACTTTGATTGGTCTAACTTCATCATAAAGCTTCTTAAATAAGGTGTTACTTCACTACAATGGCAAAGGGACGCGGAGGGGGAGAAATGCATGATAATTTCTGGAAATCAGTCCAAGAACATTCATATTTACATCAAATTAAATCTTAGATAAAAACTGCTTACATTTTAAAATCATAAAACTAAAATACCCATCAGAAGTACCTAAAATGGGCCAGGGATAGAGGGAGAGTCAAGCACAGAACTGAGAAGTGAGACAAGGATACACATGCTCATGCAATTTCAGACTGAAGTTTTTACCTTCCAGAGTCCTAAGAACGGGAAAAGAAATTCTCGTTGTTTTGTTTCTGACAACAAAGAGGCCTTCCAAATACTTTCTAGAAACTGAAAATTATCTTTTCTACATTCATCTCTTAAAATGAAACATTCTATACCCTATGATCCTTTGACAATTACTACTTTGTTTGTTTAGTTCAAGCTGGCCATGAAGTCACTTTGTATCCCAGGCTGGCCTCAAACTCACAGCAGTCCTCCTGCCTGTCTCCCAGGTCCTGGGATTACAGGCTTGTGCCACCATGCCCAGCTAATTCCTATTTTTTAGATTATAATTTGTCTTGATTTTTCTAATAAAAATTGGAATTTTCTCTAGAAAATTCTCCATAATCTTCTCACAGAAAATCCAAAAAAATTTATAAAGAAATCATAATATTACCTTATGGTTATCATGAATATTCTGACTTATTTCCTTCCATAATTTTCAAGGTGTTTTGTTTTTGTATCTGAATTATGTAAAATATATTGTCTATTACACATTCATATACAATTTTCTGTGCGACTTTATTTATGTAGAGTATGTACTTCTGGGTTTTAAAAAATTTTATAGAAAGTTATAAAGGCTACAAAATAGTCCAAAATAATCTTACACTGAACATCTTTGGGTACAAATGTTTATTTACCTATAATAAATTCTTAAGAGAAAATTATCAGAATCTGAAATAAAGTATCAAGCTGTATATAGGTATATGGCTCCTGAAATCATATGATATAAAGAGTATTTTTCATTAGAAAAATAGTTCAGCGAGCTCAAGGTCAGCCCAAACTGCATCAAAAAGAAAGCTATAACAAAAGGAAAGCCATACATAACATTTTAAAATGCAAATTTTAATAAAGGGTCTATGATTTTTCTGTGTTTAAAATAATTTATTGCAAATGTAAAGATAAAAAATCAGAATTTGAAAACAAAATATACATTTTATATATATACATATAGACATTTTAACTTTAACTTGGGCATATTTTTAACTTAGCTCCATTCGTTACTAGCTGACACGGAAGCTAGCAAATTACTGAGACACTGAATTAATAATAATTTCACTTGAGTCATACCTGAATCCTAACTTTGTTATCTGCCATTGAATTGAATGAGTGTGGCTCACCTGAAGAACAACGTTAACCTTATAAAATGCTTCATGTCTCATACTCTCAAAAATAAAAGTTCAGAACCGACAAAGGCAGTATTACCCAAAGACAATGTAGAGACAGTTCTAGATAAGAAGAGACTGTATTAAGTCAGTGTGGTTTTCAGATGCTTACAGCCCAAACCACTCGTCTCTCGTTTACAAATAAGATACTGATTACAGTCAGTTAAGAGGGAGGTCAAGTTCCCAGGCAAGCAGTGACCAATGCTGTGCGTCACAGTCCCAAGGTTACAGAGGATGGCAAAATCCTCCACTTCTGCCCCGGGACATCTTTAGAACCTGCTGACAGTGTGCAAAAGAGGCAGCGGTCCCAGTGCCCCCGCTCTGCCCATCGCCAGGCTTTCACTCCTGAGTTAACGAGGGTCTAATTTACATTTAACAATGATAAGCCCTGGCTTACACAGCACAGATCTTCTTGGACACACACGGAGCTATCTACATTTCCCTCTCACAGAGTGATGCAGATACACATAAGCAAAAGAAATCCATGGATCTTGCCCTTTACCAAAAAAAAAAAAAAAAAAAGCGTAACAGACTCCTTTCCAATCTGGGACGTCCTTGAGTGACTCCCTCCCATGAGAAGCATGGGTCCAGGCTTAAAGGCAGGAAAAGGTAATGCTGAAAAAAGCAAGAGGACTGAGCAACTATGTATGAGAAAAAAGAAAGTGAAAAAAATTCAGACACTGTGAATAAGTGCAAGGAAGATCAGCTTTGTAATTTTAGTACCCAGAGGGGGTAATATGAGGATTCTGGCTACTCGATGTCTTTTCTTAAGGAGCTGGGAAGACCGAGATGAACTATGAATCAATTTAGGTGACACACGGTTTCAGGTTTTAATGCAGAACTTGAGGCAAAAGTCAGTGACTTTGTTCAACACTACATATTTCTTCTTTTTCTCTTCTCATCTGCTTGGATTCTCTGTAACCGATTCTCAAACTTTACTCCAGGGACTTGTTAAAACATACACTGCTGGGCCCATACTGTCCACTTCTGACTGAGGATAAAGCTCAAGAATCGGCAAGCCTAGCAAGTTCTTAGGTGACGCTGATCTGCTGGCCTGGGAACATCACTTCTTGAACCAGTGCTCTGGACTGTTTTGTTTGTTTTGTTCTGCGATACTGGCAGTTGAACCTAGGGCCTCTGCACTGAGCTGGGTCCTAGTCTTTTTAAAAAATTTTAGCTGGGCGTGGTGGTGCACGCCTGTGATCCCAGCACTTGAGAGGCAGGAGGATCGTTGAGAGTTCGAGACCAGTGTGGGCTACAAAGTGAGCTCAAGGCCAGCCTGAACTGCATACCGAGACCCTGTTTCAAAAAGACAAAAACAAAAATTTTTTTTTTGAGACAGTCTCTCACAAACTCTCCTGTGCTGGGCTTAAACCTGCATCTTCCAGCAATAGGCTCCCAGATTGCTGGCTTTAGGTTGCTTTTTTTCTTTAATTCGTATGTCTAAAGTCAGCCACTAACTTAGTCCCATAGGTAAAATTCACTTATCTGCGGGAGCTGTTTGGACAGGGTCTTGCTCTGTAGTTCAGGCTGGCTCTGAACTCTCTAAGCAGCCCAGGCTGGCCTGGAACTTGGAGAGATCCTCTTGCCTCAGCCTGATGGGGTGCTAGGATTATAGGTGTGCACCACCATGCCACGTCTGGCTCACGGGTGAAATGTGGATTCCTGGCGGGGGAGCCACCCAAGGAGAACTCAACTGATTGCAAAACAAAAAACATAGATGAAAATAAACAACTATCACTCATTATTTCCTTATCTTTGTAGACAACTAAAGTGCTTACACATGTGTCCAAGGTAACAGTATAATAAACTAATTACCTTCCCATGTATTTTAGAAGCCTCATTTCTGTCATGAGTTGGTGAAGAACATGCTAATAATGAAATGTACATTTTTTTCCTTTAAGATGAAGACTCAAGGTTAGAAAATGAATGGCAACTAAGCAAAGAAGCCAGAACAGGGAAATTTTCTCTCCAGTGTGCTCACACTGATTGACTGACAGGTACGGTCTGCAGACAGGCTCTGAGGCTGCTTCAGGCTCACTGTCTTAGAACGTGGTAGTCCAGTCTAACGCGGTCATAAGGACAAGCACTGCTGCCCAGACACCACGAAGTGAGAATGAGAGGCGCAAAAAGACATCATGATGAATGTCAAAGAAATGATTAAAAAAGGAACTGGAAAGTGCGATCACATAAGATGGTTGAAATATTTAGCAGAACGATTTGAAAGGAAATCCTGAAGGCCAAATAGTGAACTGCAGCAGACAGACTGTGTACAAAAGGCCGCTAGGATAAAGACAGGTCAGTGTAGTAAGGCAAAGGGCAGATGACACGTAAACGTTTGAAAGTAAGGTAGAAGACAGGCGGGAAGACACAGACCTTGGTAAAGGGACTTGTGACTTACCTCAACAGGAAGCTGATTAAACTGTGTCACTAGCGCATCTGCAGCTGTAGCTACACCAACAAGAGCCATGACCTTCTCTGGCCGTGCAATTGCAGCATGGAGCATGAGCCACCCACCAAGGCTAGACCCGACCAGTATCTACAAATGACAATACAGATGGCTTGAAAGCGCAATTTCTTTTTCTTCTCTACAGTAAGAAAGCGACAGTTTAATAGAAATGTAAGTATTTTTTTTTAAATGTTACGTAGTTCCCAGACTTCTAATATTTGGCACCGAACTCAATTAACATTCTGTTAAACTATTAGGTCTATAACGTCAATGATAAGAATAAAATTTATAAAAAGTAAACTGCTACTTTTATTAGAGTTAAAATGACACACAATTTTTAAATCGAAATTATCAAAATTATGAAACATTTAAAACGTTCAATGAATTTTCACATCTATGATATCTTAAATGTAAGGTTACAGTTAATGCTCATAATCGTATGTAACAAAAACAGTCACCTGTGGTCCTACAGCTATACCATCAATTACAGAAAGAATATCTTTTCTCCATTTCCCCACCGTGCATTCTTCTAAGTTACCCTCTGAATTTCCAACTCCTGAGTAATCAAACCTGGAAAAAGCGGAAAATATGTATTTATATCTAAATGTTATATATCTACCTATACAGCTGTTTCTTAGATTTTTAAAGATTTATAATGTTTACTATAATGCCTAAAATACAGTAAAACCTCAGTCAGTGCGTATTTGTGCAAAGCCTGCTGGCTTAGTCATCGAACAGCCCGGCCCTCTGATCACTTTCCTACCCGCTTCACTGCTGCCAGCCTCGCCCAAGTCACTCCTGCCTTCAGACTGAACCAGTGTAACAGCCGCCCGCCAGGTCTCTTCCATCCATGGCTCACTCTTAGTCTAGTCCCCACAGCGGTCTTCAGGATCCCTCTCAAACAGGTAAGTCTTGCAGAAACCCTGCAGAGGCTTTTTGTATTTATAAAATCTGAAGTCCTTACCATACCTCAGCCCCTCACGTCTTCCTGTTCTCAGGATCCCTCCTGTTGTCCCAACCAAGCTCTCACTTCCCTTCTTCTAGATGAAGGAACAGGACATTCACACTCCTGCCTCATCGGCTTCTCCCCGTGTGGAACATCCACCTCCGGAGACCCACTCAGACTGGCCCTCACTTCACTCGGGACGTGGGCTCACATACTACACCCCCAGAAGTCTTAGCGACCATTCAATCAGTAAAACTGTGCTTCTTTTATCATTCTCTATTTCCTTATTTTATTTTCTTCCTAGAACTTATTACTACTTGACACGAAAGATGCTTATTTGTGGCCTGCCTCCCGTCCCAGAACACAAACTCTCAGAGCCTGTATCAGTACCTTGCAAATGGTAAGTGCGGAACGAAAGGGAGGAAGGAGGCCAGAATCAAATCACCATCATGAATGTGTTCAATTCCCCTTCCAACTTCCCAGGTATCCAGGTCGTACAAACACTGCTTGATTTATGAACTCTACCTCTCCTTCAAGGTCTCAACTTAATAAGTCATAAAGAATCATCTGATGCCCACAGACTACCCAAACCCTACTCACACCGAACTACTCTTAATTCTCAAAGCCCTTTCAGGACTTTTGAGCCGCTGCATGGTGTTCCATTGCCAAGAAATCCCTCCTTCCCCAACCAAATTCCTAGTCATCTTCTAAGTCATGTCACCTCCTTTGGCAAACTTTCCCCATTTAGGACCAGGTACTTTCTTCTGTACGAACTGAACATTTTTCATACTATGTGTTGCAATCAAGTTTCAAGTATCTGTGTTCCTCTGACCTGCCGGTCAAGGGCAGGCTGTTTATGCAAGTTCGCTTTTCCAGAACACGACGCTGCCTGCCCTCCAGCACTGTCACTCATTCTCCGTTCTTAGCAGTTCAACCCTTTGTCTGCACTTCGGAAGGCCAGCACCTTGGTGCAGGTCCCAGTGGTCTAAAATGCAGATCGTCACAGCAGTCTCACTGTGTGTGCGTGACTGTCTCCTGATGAATCTACTTTGCACTGGTTGGTTTTTTTCTTGAAAATTATGCTTTGGCTTTACGTTGAATGGCTCCCTGCAAGCAACAACATTAGTCCTTCAACCTACTGTTTAAGAATATTGTGTTCTCATCTCAGGTTGATCTCTTGTCACTTATCAAACGAAACTATAGTACTACATTAGCCAGCTGATTAATTTGTTAGTCACCTGCCATTCCTTCTCCATCATCTTCTTCACTAAAATATTCTTTTTCAGAACCTAGTCCAAATAAACCTTTTTGGTGGAAAACCATCCTATCTAGGTTAAAGATCTCTCTCTCTCAAGAAACTTCCATAGGATTTGTCAGCCACAGGCAGTTTATTATACCCTGCTCTCTAAGAAGAGGGAGGGGAGAGGGAGAGAAAGAGAAGGGAAGGGAGAGGAAGAATGCCTGCCTGTGAGACGCTAAGACCCTGCAGGGGAAAGCCCGTATCTGGTACTGTCTCCGCATTCTTCATAGAGGTTAGGTATGAAAACTTCACACTGAGGACGACAGTATCACTAAATCAGTACACTGAAAGATTAAAATAAAAAATACTTCATTCAAATATCGAGCTTTCGTCTGTTTCTTATTCTTAAAATCTAGTGAAAACTAATGAGACCCAGTATTTTTAGGTTATATGAAAGGGTATGTGATACACTGTATAAACACATTTCCTAAGAGATAAGAGATTTGTAAGTGATAAAGGAAAATGAAATTAAAATTGTCTTTAGGTTTGAAGTGAACTGATGTTGGATCCTTGGGAAACCTGAATGAGCTTGCTGCTGTACGCTAAATCAGTTAGTGTTCCCCCATCAATTCAGGGTGCCGAGAGGACAGACTAAGAAGAAGAGAGGGGAAAGAGACCCGCTGATTTCTCTTACCCTTACTGGAGAGTATATGGATACTGTTACATACAGCATCCTTTCCAACTGTCTTCCAAATGCACAGTAAGGATGCAACATACTTATAGAGTTCCTCCATAAAGAAAAATACAGACACACCTCAGAGATACTGCAGGTTCATTCTAGACCACCACAAGATATTGAATATTGCAATAAAGAGAATCACATGAATTTCTGAGATTCCATCTCACCCCAGAAAGAATGGCTATCATTAAGAAATCAACCACTAACAAATGCTGGAGGGGCTGTGGGGAAAAAGGATCTTTCTCCACTGTTAGTGGGAATGTAGACTGGTACAAGCACTGTGGAAATCAGTGTGCAGATTCCTCAAAAAACTAGGATTAGAGGGCCCATTCCACCCAGCTATTCCCCTTCTGGGTATTTTCCCAAAAGAATTAAAGATAGTATACCACAACAATGTATGTGCACCCATGTGTATAGCAGCATGACTTGTAATAGCTAAATCTTGGAAACAACTCAAATGCCCATCAACTGAGGAATGGTTAAAAAAGATGTTATCTTTTTATACAATGAAGTACTACTCAGCTATAAAGAAGGATAAACTTAAGAAGACCATACTCATAAATGAAATAAATCAGACCCACATGTGTAAACATTGTATTGTCTCCCTAGTGTAAAAACCTGAAAGAGTAAATAAGATCTAAAATACACAACAGATATTGTGAAAGGGAAAGAAACTGCTCAAAAGGAAAAAAACAACTGGGATGGGGGAAGAAAAAATATATATACACAAGATAGCTAAGATAATTATACTAATTTCTATTAGTTCATTAAATGGAATGGTTTATGCTTATATTGTTCAATCAGCTTTGTATGCCTGTATCTTATAATCTGAGTAACTACTTTGAAGATAACAATACACAATATAATAGTCATTGTTAATTTATCTTGTTTGGAAATTCTGTATCGTTTTTATTGTTTCTTTCTCATTAAAAAAGATATTTAAACTACAGTGTAGTCTACTAAATGTGCAATAACATTATGTCCTACAAAAATACTTTGATTAACACGTTCCCATTGGCTTCAGCCACAACCAGTGGTACATGATGACCTGTACCATCAGCCGGCTTGTACCACTGCGGGTCAAAGTGGTACGTACAGTCCTGCATGGGACAGACATGCACGTACCGCCAGTCTGGCAAGCTGCTCAGCAGTGAGACATACAAATTATGGATGAACATGTTAAAAATACTCTGTTACTAAAATATACCAAGGAGCATCTAAAATGTAGGAAAAATGGTGCCTGGTATTAGTCTTGCTTGATGCAGGATTGCCATAAACTTTCATTTTGTAAAAAACTCAGTATCTGTGAAACACAATAAAGTAAAGCAAAGCAAAGGGATGCCTTCATAAACATTTAGTGATGCTAACAGGTTCTAGGTAAAAATAGAGATGCAGTTCACTCTTACTGAACCTTAGTCTACAACAAAAGATACTAATTCAAACACATTCGGCACTTTTCAGATTTCTAAACAGTAACACTATTCTATCCTAGCAGCCTCAATTCTCCACAGACACAGTCTCAAATTAAAAATATTATTACAATAATCCTGAGAATATTGGCCTCTAACGCACATGTTATATTCTTAAACTCTGACTCAATTTTAAGCATGAAGACAGGACATTAATCATTTTCATATGGCCATATGTACTATTTCTTGTATATTAAACTAGCCATTTCATCTTTCAAGGTGTAAAAATTTTATAGCAAGTCATCAAAAAAGTATACTGAAAAACTGGAAAATATGTAGACAGAAGAAAATCTCTTATAAGAAGCTAAAATGACATCAATAGTTAATACTGATTAGATGGCAATGAAGTTTGATAAGGGGAAATAAAAAGGAATTTGATCAAATAAAAAATTTGTAGTGAAGGGTGTATACCTTACAAAGGTATTACTCATATGACATCCAAAATATAGAAACCCAACATAATCTTTTTTGGAGGGGACGGTTAAGACAGAGTCTCCCTGCTTCGTCCGGGCTGGTCTAGAACTCATGGCTTTCCTCCTGCCTCAGCCTCCCAAGTGCTGGGGTTACAGGCATGAGCCACCACACCTGGCTTCTCACATTAAGTCTTACAGGGAGATAGGAACCGGTTCTAATTGTCACAGCCTCAAGTGAAATTCAGCATCACTAAAATGATGATTTTTTGATTCAAATGCTTTTTAGGGGGCAAAAGAGCGATATCAACACCATATTGCTGATGTTTTGCTCAAAGCCGTCTCTCTCTACAGACAGCTCCTTCCTCCTATCTTCTTCAGTGTTCTAAAGTTCTCTTTATCCACTTCATTCCTCAGTTTTCTTCACTTTATGTAATTAAATACACTGCTCTTTTGACAGTGACATTCTGATGTGTGTTTGTATACTTTCACATTTGTATTTTTTCCACTGTAGGTGAAAGATCCTTAAAAAATAGTGCATTGTTTTATAATTCTTGGTATATTACTCATCCTGACATCTTTTTTTTTTTCTTTTTCTGGTACCGGGAATTCAACTCACAACCTTGCGCTTGCCAGGCAGGCACTGTGCTGCTGAGCTAAATCCCCAGCCCTCTTGGTGTATTACTCAACACCCAATATTTCCAAAAAACACTCCAGTCCTGAGAATAACAGTTAAGTCAATGAGATTTTAAAAGTTTGAAATATGGAAATGAAATTAATCTGTTACCATGATAGAACTAAGACTAATTCCATATAACTGACATAATTTCTTTTAATATATCGAAGAGATAATGTCCAAAAAAAAATTTTTTTTTTTTTGTCCTGTTTGAGACAGGGTCTCACTGTGCAGTTCAGGCTGGCCTTGAGCTCACTTTGTAGCCCAGGCTGGCCTCGAACTCACAATGATCCTCCTGCCTCAGCCTCCCGAGTGCTGGGATTACAGGTGTGCCAGGTGTGCACCACCACGCCCAGCTCTGTCTAAACGTTTTATATATAGCTGTATTTTCTAAAACTATTAAATGAATTTAGTGAAACTACTCTTCTAAAATTTAGAGGTGAATACATTTTTATGCTATTAATGCTAGAAAAAAATTCAAATTTTAATTCAACTCTCTTGTTTTTTGGATGACAATGTTAGGTCCCATGTTTATTAACTGACTTGTCTGGTCCCAGTTACTAAATTTATTCTAGAACCCAGAATTCTTAAATTCCAGTTCAATGCTCTTTCAACTAAACCACACTCTGTTCTGGAAAATTTTTCACCAAAAAAATCACCACCAAAGTAAACTGAGAAATTGGAAAATATGTAAACAGCAGGTAAAACCTCTTATAATAAGCTAAAAATGAAATTAACGTTAATAGTGATTAGATAGCAAGGACAAACGTAACAACAAAGTGAACAAATTATTTTACTAAGATAATTGTCTGTATGAAAAACCAGAAATTATTAAAGTAAGCTTCAGTTAAACAACATATACTCCTCTTTATGTTCATACATAATTAGATTACAGGAGTGAAAGAAGAAAACTCGGCAGAAACGTGAGTTGCTATACTAACTTTGTAATACTCTTTTTGTTTTGGTGTTTTGAGACAGGGTTCCGCTATGTAGTTCATCATTCAGGCTGGGTTTGAACTCACTATGCAGTTCAAGCTGGCTTAGAACTCACAACAATCCTCCCGTTTCCGCCCTTGAGTGCTGGGGTTACGGGTGTGCGCCACCACAGCCAGCTATAATACTTTTAAATATATCTAACGTTACAAATTTTGTGAGTGTAGTGCTGGGAATTGAACCCAGGTCCTTATGTACTTCATACACGTTAAATGTATACTCTTACAGCCCTAAGTACATATTTTAGCAGGCAGTCAAATAAACCGTTATACCTCCCACAGAAAACTAATATAACTGCAGCAGAGTACAAGAAAGTCAACTAGTGTTTTTGTCATACAGATTATTGCACCTTAAGAACTTAGTCACTGCTAATCTCCTTAATATATCTTTTCCTGCCAGCACCGTCAGTGTGGCACAAAGACATTTCAGAAAGGTCTTTTAAAGGTTACTTTTACAATGATCCTGTATCACAAAATGCAAGTTTACAGACCATTAAAATCAATGAATCTATTAAAGTGCTGGCATTTGCTTCAACTGGTGAGAGCAGAAGTAGTTCTCCACCGCCATGCTAAATGACAGGAACAGGTTCTCCGAAAAATGTGGTTCCTACCTTATATAGGCATGCCCTAGAGATCTGCAGAATTCCTCAAGCGCCATTGCTTTTGTACCATTCATGTTAGAGATGTAGCCAGGGATGAAGATAATTCCCGGACTTTTGCCTTTTAGTCTCTTATAAGCCAGTTTTGGAAGGTCTGGTCGATTAAGGAAAGAGAATGATGTCTTTTGTCTGCAAGCTAACCAAAGTACACAGAACATAAATTACAGTTTCCAACTAGTTTTTGGGAAATCATCTATTTCAAATTTTCTTAACTCACTGGGTTAATGTTAAATACTATTTCCAATTCACAGGACAAACAAAACCAGATACAAAGTACATACTAAATTAACAAATCTCTGCACCAGGTCTTCAGCTTTAAAATTTTGTCAAGATTAGTAACTTTTTAAGCCAGGATCCAATCTTCATTCTTCGAAAATACACAAGGAGGCAGAAATTCCAAGGCAACAAAGGACAGTGATTCATCAAAAAATATTCTCCTGTTGCTACTGTATCACTTATCCTGAACAGAATCAATCACAATTCAGATTTAACTAGACTAGATTCAATCCTCTCTTGTGAGATTTTGGTTTTTTTGTTTGAGGAGTTTCCATCCTGTACTTTGGGCATATGAGTAGGGGAAAAAAGGTTGGGTCAGCCTTTGGGAAATTGTTTCAAACTCTCACCCTAAACCTTTCATTTCTGACTCTCATTCACACAGGGCACTTAGGAAATCTGGGGCTGTGATAACAAAGTATCATAATTTTGCTTCAGGTGAAGTCAATTCAAGGAGCAATTCCTTTCTAAATAACCTTGAATAACATATAATAGTACCATTTTCACAACAGATTTCTCATAGGACTCAGCATCCTTTGTGTTTTATACATTGGCTTCACTTTTGTGAATGGTATAGAACAATTCAAATGGTAAACTTTACAAGATTACTCCACTTCCTTGTTTTAATTTTTTCCCTACTATAAAAATACACTTAAAAAGTAAAAAGTATTTTTTAAAAAAATTCCCAGTTTGTCCCTCCAAAGCCATTAGGTTTGTATATTTCTTTACAGTGTTCTTTTGGACTAAGAAACGTTTTTAAACATTACATGGAGTCTTCTTCCACGTTCTTGTGGTTCGTGAAAATTTCTCTTTCTTTTCCTACGTGTGCTGTAAACGTTTTCCCCACTCTGGATTTGTGAAGTTGATTTTTTAAAACTTAATTGAAGGCTTTACATCTACCCCCTTTGCATAACTGTTTTACACCTCCCATGTATTGAGAAACATGTCAAATTTAAAACATTAGGGCAAAAACAGGGCTATCAGGGGTCACTTATGTTGGTCAGGACACTGCATTAGCCATAATGTTCATTTCTAATTTCCTGAGTTAAGCACTCAAATAATCCTTTCCACCCTTCCCCAAATATTCCAACACAGAAACTCCCCCTGAGAAAATTACAACTTACTCAGTGTCAGTGAATTGTAAGTGGGCAAATTCTAATACGATATCCAGAAATTATCTTGAGACCATAAGGATGAGCTGTGCATAAAAGCTAAATATTTGCTAAAGGGATGAAAGGCTATTTTAATAAACTGACATTTGGTTGTTTACAAATGAATGTAAGTCAAACTGATTATGTAAATTTTGGGTATTTTCCACTGGAAACAAAGGGTCTGTGCCACGAGGTTATCACTCCAGGCACCACGCGTCTGACAACTGCGCGTCCAGGGTGTGAAAAACACACAAAGGGGTATTAACAGCCTCACACATACAGTACGAATATGCTTCTAAATGTTGGTTTCCTTTGCAAAGTAGTGATATTACGGTTCTTTCACTGAGGGAGCAGCAGGGCCACGGGCTTAAAGAAGGCGGCGGCACTTTTGCAAAGAACACGCCTCCTATTTGAAGCATCGAGTCAGGGGAATGCAAGGCTAACAGTTTTGCAGAAACGACCCGAAGGGCCCCAGACGCAGCTCGTAACCAACGCGCTGCGGACGCGTCCTTCCCTTCCGGCGCCGGGGGCGGGGCAGAGCGGCGCGCAGGCGCGGGGCGGGGCTGCTCGGACGGCGGG